TCTATCGAAAGAGCCACTAGTACATAGGTGCTGGAGTAGATTACCACTGCTTGTAAAAACCTGATAAACTTGCATAGTATGTTTCCCGCATGCCAGGCCACTGTGATTCGCCATGCGATGTCAGTTGACACATTGATGAGCCCGACTGAAAGGTCTGAAATAAAAAAAATAAGAAAATTCGATTATCTACTGCAGTATGTTCTATATACAGTATACTGTCTTTTATTAAAAAAATCATGTCGCAAATGTTCCAAACAAACATAGAAGTTCAAGTAAGTAGGTTGTGTGTTCGTATGCTCCCTAAATTTTATGTATTTTAAACAAGAAGTGGTATTAAAACTTTCAAAGCAACCATTGAAGTTGTAGCAAACTTGGAACAACTACAAATTTTATATGTTACCGATAGTCCCAGTGGCGGCCACATGATTTATTTTTGAGGGGGCACATTTGCAAATAAAAGGCAGTGACATTTCTATATGCAGTGTTAATAAGATTTTGTTTCTTAGCTTAAAATCAAGTACAGTATAAACAAGATGATTGGCCTAATATTGTCAAGCCTAAAACTAACATTAAACTAAATATTAATCTTTATTTAAACAAGCATATCTTATTCTTGCCTGTTAAATGTTAAGAAGGACTTTAAATGAAATAATCTTATTCCTAATTTAAGATTAACAATCGATTATACCATTTTTGGAAAATTCCCTCTATTCTGTTCTTAAAGATATAAAACTATACTGGATGTAAATATAATTATATTTATTCTAAGATTAGTAAATATTGGTACGACTGGCCTATTCTTAAAAATATCCCCCACTCACGAAAGTGTCCGACATTTTGGAAGATTGTTTCTTGTGTTAGTTAATATTTAGTTTTGAATTATGAAAGAGCTGCTAAACTAGTGGAATTTGATGAAATTAACCACCAAATGTATATGTAGGTAATAATTATAATTATATTTATGTGTGAGGTATTATGTATTGAATTTTAATGTTGGAGTGATATTAGGTTGGCCGAAGTTATGTATATTTTACCTCTAGATTATAGGTACGAATAAAAATGTTGGTTAAAAGAGTGGATTATCCTATCTATTTTTTTCTATCAGTCTTAGAAAAAAAGAGATAGAACAATCCAATCTTTACCTTTTGAAAAAACATTGTCATTATATCCTAACCTTTATTTAAAGTCTAGCAATATTTGAAACAATTATTATACCTTATATTTAATCCAAAAGTAAATATTATATCGCCAAGAATTATTATATCATTTGTATCAAAAAATACTTATTCTTAAATTAAGCATAGTGTATATTTTGTTTGAGGGTGCTTGCATTTAAAATAATCTGATATTTTTTCTTGAAATAAGAATAAGTTTACCCTAGCACCTAACATTGAAATTATATCCAAATAAGTATAGGTTCTTGCATTCAACTCCGTATATCTTCTAGACGAAAATGACAGATTGATAATTTTGTTTGGTCACAGATATAAGAGTTCTTAGATTTTGATTTATGATGAAATATATTTTGTATTTATTTATTATTTTCTACGATCATTTATATCTATGATACCGCCACTGGCCATAGACACACAGCCAAAAAGTTATTCTTCACAATAATAGAAATATAAATCATTACTCCCAATCTTATTCCCTTTGATTTAGTGGGTACTTAAACTTTTACTGCCAACGTAAAACGTTCTGTTTCATTTTATTGTCGCAAAATTAAAAACATCAAACTTTGTTTATATTTTCCTTGGACACCACACTTTTGTGCCGTTTCATTTTCCTAAAGAGCCGGCTTTACGATATCGTAAACTTTTCCTCTCTCTACATCTCTTATCTCGAGCATTATTCGACTCTAAAACGTACAAATCAACTTGCTCGAACCAATTTCAAGCAATCTAAGATGTACACTCCATGATGGTAGAAAATTATTTTCGTTCTTTATGGAAAATGAGTTTTTATATTTGTAATAGATGGCGCTGTAATGAAAAAAAAACATTTTTGTTCGATTTTTCTTCTTATACGATTCTGCAATAATTTTACTATAAAAATATCACTTTTTTGGTAAAAATTATCTTATTAAATCAAATCTGATTTTTTTACCCACGATTTTTTAACTAATATTAAGGTTTCCTTTGGTTTAAGTTTTATACATTATTTCATTTAATTTAAAGGATTATTGTACTATTTTTAATAAAAATACCTCATTTAAGGTAAAAAAAATATTATTGAGGTATAAAGAAACTATTTATACAGTTTAGCATTATTTAATCAATTTAGTTCGAAGATTAATTTGCAAACAAAAAGACCTCCTTTCGTTAAGCAGTTATTCATAATGGATTTTTTAACAGTGGAAGAAAAAATAGAAATGATTTTGATTTAGGGAGAAGCAGGCAGGAATCTTGATGATGCTGTTAATATCTACGCTCAGCGTTTTCCGGATAAAATTCGATCACGTACTTCATTTCACCGTACAGTCAAGCAGTTTGCTACAAACGGGAGTGTTCAACCAAAAAAAGAGTTCGTTGAGCAACAGTAATAGTTGGAAATAATGAAATTAATGTATTAGCAGCAACGGCCGCTAATCCTCATGCAAGCATTAATGGCAGAATATTAAAAGGAAATGCGAATTAATAAATGCATTTAAGTCGAAGGCCACCATTTTGAGCAACTACTTTAATTAAAATTTAAAAAATTAATAAATAAATTCAAAAATTATTGGAGAATAGTATACAGAAGGAAAATCGAACAAAATTGATTTTTTTTTGACAGCGCCAATATGAAAAATTCCCCCTCCGAATCATTTAATTTTTATTTTGAACATTTTTTCGTAAAATACATGTTTAGTAATTGCTTTGTTGAATTTATATGTATAAATGCCATTATTTAATTAATTGGACGTATTATTTTTATTTCCCTTTGTTGTAATTATTGTTAAATCAAATTAATTTTCTGTGCGACTGCGTCAAAATAGACAATCATTATTAATTAACTTTTTTTACTCGCACCTTATTGTCCATGTTTTTTTGTTCAAATTTTGATTTTGACAGTGTGATGTCGCTGTAGTCAATATGCTATTTTCTTAGGTTAGGAATACTGTTTTCATTTATTGTATTGTTTCTTTTAGGTAACTTGGTTAAATATGCCAGAATGATGAAGAATGCGCATACAAAAAATAAACAATTTTTTAACATGACCGTCGCATGTGATTTCACACATTTTTATCTGCTCAAAATTAAAAGTATCCCCATGTTGTGAATTTTAGGTTAGTTTCCACTGGTAAACAAAAAAAACATAGCGAGCAATTTATGACTATTTATGTTGCTATTTTATCACTATAGACGGTCATGTTAATAAAAACCCAACATGTGTTCAATATCATTTTCTTTGGCTACTTGAAATTTTTAGAAGATCGCAAATATCGGATTTTGCTCGAGGACATACGACGGTCATGTGAAACAGGAGTTTTAAAAGCAAAATTAAAAAATAAATTCATAGGATATTTAACTTTTGGTATTATAAATATTAGACTGGGCCAAAAAAATCAACTATTTTTTTTTGTAAAGTATATCGAAAATATTGTTTGGGATGACAAAAAAAATTATGGTGAAAGTTTGAGTCCATAATATTAATATTAAGAGGTCTATCATCGCAATTTTAGATTTTTTTTTCCTGAGCGAGTTTTTGTCTCACAACTCCCAAATCGTTGAGTTTAACAAAATTGACCTAGAAATATTTTTTGAAGAAAATTGAATGCTCTACAAAAAAGGTTTGATTGGAATTTTCCGTCAGATGAACCCTTTTCTTACAATCATGCCTTAAAAACTGGTATAGTTTTACAATTTGATCTTTTAACTTTGGAATTTTGTAATTCAAGTAAAAATCAGTACCCTGAAAAAAAAAACGATAAATTTTCTTATGGGAAATCAAATGCTCTACAAAAAAAGTCTTTTATCATTTTCGGCTAAATTCACCCCATCAAAAGTTATTCAAGGTTAAATTTGAAGTCAAACCCAAATTTTAACCTTGAATATCTTTTGATTGAGTGAATTTAGCCAAAAATGTTGAGAGGCTTTTTTTGGAAGGCATTTGATTTCCCATAAGAATATTTATCGGTTTTTTTATGGGTACTGATTTTTACATGAATTACAAAATTCCAATTTAAAAGATCGAAATGTAAAATTTTTAAGGCATGATTTTAAGGAAATGGTTCATCTGACGGAAATTTCACTTTAACCTTTTTTGTAGAGCATTTAATTTTCTTAAAAAAATATTTTCAAGTCAATTTTGTTAAACTCAATGGTTTGGGAGTTCTGAGCCTAAAACTTGCTGAGGAAAAAAAATTAAAATTGCGATGATAGACCTCTAATATTATGGACTCAAACTTTCATAATAATTTCACCCCAAACCATATTTTCGATATTCTTTAAAAAAAAAAAAAATAGTTGATTTGGCCCAGTCTAATAAATATGCCTGTCTAGTAAAATGTAAAAAAATAAAGGTTTTAGTTTTAATAACCCAGAGACATGGAATCTTAAAAGTTTCTGAAAACCACCCATATACATACTTAAATATTTTGACGTTCTGATACTAAATATAAGCAACGTTTCTCTGCTAACAACTATTTACTGAAATTGTCGAGGACATAAGGAATTTAGTAATGGCCTTCTCGAAAATTATTTACTCTATCATGAGATAATTGCCGATGCAAAGAAAAACAAGGAATGCCTCGTAATGGCAGTAGCGATAAAAATATCTTCATTTCTTCACAATTATTTCGATTATTTGAACCGCACTGCCTTTTCAAGTAGCTCTTCAAAAGTATCGCTACTCGTATAAGGAACTGTAATTGTGGAAATTTCGTAAAAAGAGGAAATTGTTTCTCTGGAAATTCTCTCTTTATATCTGTGATGTCTTGATTTAGTAATTGGGTTTGTGTATTTTGTCTAGCAAATGTCAACAACGTTTTTATAATGTTAACTTATAATTTTACTTACCGGCTAGTGCAAGATGTTTGATGAAAAAGTTCATCCTCGATTTTCTAGATTTGTTCAAAAGAAGCGCTATTAATACTGCTGAATTTCCCAAAACTATCATGGAGAATAGGACCCATAGAATGGTGAATTGTTCAGCCTGAAAAAGTAAAATAAAACATTAAATAACATACAACCCAATTAATTGACCAAACAAAGGTAAAAAATTTACTACATATTTACAATAAAAATTACTTTGCACTTTAATTCGTATTAGTAAAAAATATTAGGAAAAACACCGGTAGCAATTCTTTAGGAAGTTATATAGTGGTTTCCATAATATTCCTGTTATCTCTAGTTATAAAACTTGGGTTTTATAGTGTTGGTACCGATACCCTTCATAAACTCCCCAAATAAGCTCTTTAAGGAGTATATAAGAGTGATATAAACATTTATATAACCAAATTAAGTAATTTGGATGATATAACATTTGTGGAAACCACTATAAAAACAAAAATGTTTATTGGTAGTTGTAATGCTGAGAAATATTTCATATTGGAAAATAACAAAGGAGTTTTAAAGTTTATCGAGAACAAATTTATTCGAATTCCAAGAGAATTCTTAAGTAGTTTCAAACTTGTCAACAAAGATCTTAAAAACAACAATTACATTACTTTTAAAAAAATATTCACTACTAGATGTAACAACTTTTAGTTAAGCGTTCAGTGTAGTATCTGTTTACTAAGCGTTTTCCAAATATTTCCAGGTATTTAAATATAGGCCATTTGTTGACATGGTTGTCAGATGTATTAAAAAAATTTTAAAACGATAAATAAAAGTAATCTTTTTATTTTTGTGGAATTACCCTTATGTAATATAGTCTGGTCGCGTACCAATGAGAATCAATTTCTGCATAATGCTAATGTTGTACTCTGGCTTTCGTGGTTTTCTCCTTTCCGCTTAATTAAATTCTAATTTGCTTTATTTTATCACATTTACGTCTAAATTTTCGCCGATTTCCCGCTTTGTATACCACTTCAGAAACACTGCATTATAATGCAGCGTTGCTAATTTTAGAATGTATTGAAAATTAACGAAGCTTTGTTATTTTCCTCAAGCCCCTTTAATTTAAATTTACTCCTGTAACGCTACAAACGCAGTAAAAACGTGTTTACTAATAATGAACAAACCCCAAATTGTATTTGCTATAGTGCATTTATAGTGGTTTCCATAAATGTTATATCATCCAAATTATAAAACCTAAATTTCTTAATTTGGTTACAGAAATATTTATATCACTCTTATATACCCCTTAAAGAGCTTATTTGAGGAGTTTATGAAGCTCACTATGCCTAATTTCTGTTTCAATTACCAAACATTTTTGGTATATTAAGCACATAAATAGTCAATAACTCACAATTTTTGTTTATTAAAAATAAAGACACAATGGTTTTATAAAACAGGTAAGCGCAAACTTTATAAACTCCCAAACCATTGAGTTTAACAAAATTGACTTTAAAATTTTTTTTTAAGAAAATTAAATGCTCTACAAAAAAGGTTAAAGTGAAAATTTCCGCCAGATGAACCGTTTCCTTAAAATCATGCCTTAAAAATTGGTTTAGTTTTAATTCATGTAAAAATCAGTGCACGTAAGAAACCGATAAATATTCTTACGGGAAATCAAATGCTTTACAAAAATTTTTGGCTAAATTCACTCAATCAAAAGTTATTCAAGGTTAAAATTTCGTTTTGACTTCAAATTTAACCTTGAATAACTTTTGATGGAGTGAATTTAGCCAAAAATGATAAAAGACTTTTTTGTAGAGCATTTGATTTCCCATAAGAATATTTATCGTTTTTTTTAGGGTACTGATTTTTACTTGATAACAAAATTCCAAAGTTAAAAGATCAAATTGTAAAACTATACCAATTTTTAAAGCATGATTGTAAGAAAACGGTTAATCTGACGGGAAATTCCAATCAAACCTTTTTTGTAGAGCATTCAATTTTCTTCAAAAAATATTCTTAATTCAAATTTGTTAAACTCAATGATTTGGGAGTTCTGAGACAAAAACTCGCTCAGGAAAAAAAAATCTAAAATTGCGATGATAGACCTCTTAATATTAATATTATGTATTCAAACTTTCACCATAATTTTTTTTGTCACCCCAAACAATATTTTCGATTTACTTTCCAAAAGAAAAAATAGTCGATTTTTTTGGCCCAGTCTAATATACAATGTTTGACCTTTTTTAACATTTAATGAAGATTTCTTTAAGACATCTATCAAAAGACGTTCAGGCATAATACAGACATACAAAAGACATCTTCAAGACGTTGTGTGCTATCTGGGTAATAATTGAAATATTAAACGAATTACCTGTAGGAAGTTTAATATAAATTATATGAGTATCTTCTCCTCCAAATAGGTTCATACGTGTAGTTACATTAGATGTTACCTAACTTGAGCACATTGTATGATTAACAAAAGGATGATTAATAACTGATACCTGCCGCCTAATAACCGATATTCTATTCATAACATTAAATGTAGGTTGCATAAAAAAAAACAAACTGGGGTGGGTTTTAAAATACTATATATATTAATTTTAGGATATTATCATTTTTTGGGTCAGGGTTAGAACCTATTTGGAGGAGAAGATACTCATATAATTTATATTAAACTTCCTACAGGTAAGTCGTTTAATATTTCAATTATATTTCGTATCTTCTCCTCCAAATAGGTTCATACGTGTAGATGTTTAAAGGATAAACCTTTTTTTTTTGAATTCTTGGATTATATTTTACGTTAGAAATAAGGCATGTTTTAATTCACAAAATTTATAAGTTTCAACTTAGCAGGAACCAATGTTTTACATTTAAACTTATTATACCTTAAGTAATATACACGTTCTATAACTAATATAGTTTTAATTATATGAAAAAGAAAGAACAAAACACTTAACCTATAATAAATTGTCTAACAAATCTGAATTAGTTGCTAGTGGTATATTATAAAACTTTGCAAATACTTCAGATTTTTTAGACCACCCTGCTTTATATTCTATAGTATTGATATTAATCCCAGTTCTAAGAGCAGCGGAAGTAGTGGCGTGCCGAGTACTATGACTCTTAAATAAGTTTATATCAATACCACTTGCTCCTAAAATTGTTTTAATCCAGCGGCTTATTGTCTGTGCTGTTGCTTTATGATGAGGCTTTTTAAATGTTAAAATTAATTATTTTTCTTTATTTCGCAATTCCTTTGTTACACTAATATATCTTTGTAAGGTGCATACAAGAGATAATTCTGGATTAGAATCAAACTTTTTAAACTCTAATAATGGTCACTAATAATAATACTCAATCCGGTTTCTGTTTCAATAATATTGTCCAATTTAATTTTTGTTATTGTTTGAACTCTTTGTGCTGATGCTAGGGCAATCAAGGTTACTAATTTCTTTGTTAATTTTTCAAGATTTAATTTTTCCAAGGAATATAATGTTTTTAAATACTCTAGGACTTGGTGAGGGTCCCTCGTAGATTTATATCTTGGAAAATTTGGTTTCAATTTAAAAACGCCTTTTAAATATCTTTTAATAATTAGGTCGTCTGAGCTGTTAATATTTAAGATTAGGGATAATGCTGATTTATGTGAGTTAATAGAATTATATGACACATGATTCTCAAAAATAGTATTTAAAAAGGACAATATTATAGGTAAAGAATTTGTAATATATTAACATTTTTTTCTCGACAGAAATTAACCACTTACGATGTTCCAGTAACGGACGGGACTTTGTAATAGTCCCGCCCGTTACGCTTTAAATTATTAATTTTTAAGGAATTAAATAGTCAATCACGATGCCTAATTTTACCAAATAAAAACCTTGTTAAACAGCTTTTGTTTAGAACTATTTATAAAAAGTTGACATTGGTAATATAATAGAACAATATTATTTTGTAAATAAAAACACGGCAACTGTCCTATGCGTTAAGCGTGGAATGGCCCTTTACCTAAAACTGAAACAATATTTTCAAATGCCTGTCTTTTTACGGAATACTCTGTCTCAGTGTTAATTTTTCTTGATTCTCTGTCTGCAATTTTATTATCGGCAGAAGCTATATAAGAGGCGAAGATAATTATATTTCTATTTTCGCACCATTGCCATATTTTTGTTGTCAGCAAATTAAGGTTTTGAAATTTAATACCGCCCATTCTGTTCACATAAGAAATGGCGGTGGTATTATCCACTCTTAAAAGTACATTACAATTTTTTTCTTTATTTGCAAAACATTTTAATGCATAATAGACAGCTAGTAACTGTAGATAATTAATATGGTATTTGCTTTGTCTTTCCGACCAAAATCCATGCGTTTTTTCATTGCCACAGCATGCACCGCATCCTGTTTTAGATGCATCTACATACAGATTCTGTATAGATCTCCATTATAAAGGATTTCGGTTTAATATAATTAAAGCTCTTCAATAAATTATTTTTCCACCAATTTAAATCATGGTAAATATTAGAGTTAATATTTATTTTTGTGTTGTAATTTCCGTGAGATTTTTTCAATGCTAAATATTTTTCCCGTTCAATGCGTTTTGTGTAAAGCCAGCCATATTGAACGGTTGGACATGCAGAAATTAAGAGGCCTATTATTTGAGAAAGTTTTTGGATCGAAATTCTTGTTTTAGCTTTTAATAAAATGTCAATAATATTTAAGATATTTTGCTTCTTCTCCAATGGTAATAAAATAGTTAAATTTCTACTATTATATATAAAACCTAAATATTTACATTCCCGGGAAGGAATTAAATTACCTTTTTTATAATTAATTATAAATCCCAATTTTTCAATTAACGAACAAACAATCTTTAAGTTAATTTTTGCCTCTTCAAAGTCTTTGCCCAGGACTAAGATATCGTCTAAGTATATAGAAATCTGTATACCTCTGGACATTAAATGGTTAACTGCAGGTTTTAATATCTTTGTAAAGATATAGGGTGCTGAACATAATCCGAAAGGAAGACAATTATATTCATATAAAATATTATTAAATTTAAAACGTAAATATTTTTTTGAACATTTAGCAATAGGAACCATATAGTAAGCGTCCTTTATATCTATCGAGCCCATAAAAACATTTTTTGTAATTAAGTTACTAACTGATTTATAATTTTCTAATTTAAAATGAGGTGCTGTCATAAACTCGTTAAGTTTCTTTAAATTTAAAATAAATCTATTTGTTCCATCTGGTTTTGGTTCCATAAAATAACTTGAAATAAATTCGTTTTTCTCATGTAAACATTTATATATTACTTGTTTTTGAATAAGTTCGTTAATAGCTAAGCTATAATTTAATATTTCTGATTTGGAGATGTTAGTCTCTCTAGGTAAATAATATTGTTTGGGTGGTTTATTAAAGTTTAATTTATAACCTTGCACCCAACTTAAAATAGTTTTGTTGTTGGTTAATGTCAGCCAATTTTTATAAAATTTCTGCAGCCGACCAGCATAAAGTTGAGAACTTACCACTATTTCCGTTGACGATTTCGTTGATATCCTTGTTCCTTCCTTCGTTCTTTTTGTTCCCTTCTCTGAAATCGAGGTTCGTCCGCTTGCTTCTTCTTGTATTGTTTGAACTGGCGCTGGAAGTTTAAATTATTCGTGCTAGTTGATGGTCTTTGGTTGTTGAAAGGTTTGTATTGGCTAGAAGTGCTAGCTCGTAGTTCTCTACCCGTTTTTTGTTGATTTTGAACAAGTTTGAGGGTTTCTGCAAATTCATTTCCGCTTATAGGTTTTGCTTGTTTCCATTATTTTTTTTACGGTAGCATTAACCATTGGGTAGATCTGGTATTTTATATGATTTGATAGCGAGTTTAATGTACCACACAATATCTTGGCTGCATCTATCATAGCCGATACTACTTTATCTTGTATTTCCTTAGATTGTATTTCGTCTTTTAAAAGCGAGTTTAACGGATTTGCGATAGCACATATACCTTTTGCAATTTCGTTTTGCAACTTTTCGCAAAATTTATCCTTTTTCTTGTTACTTTCAGATAAACAAGAAGAGATTTCGGGATTTAACTCAGGCCCTTTTAATAGTTCCACGTTTTTTGGTATTTTATATTTTGATAATAACTCAGCCTTTGTTTCTTTTTCTATACTCTGACTTATATAATTACTCCATCTAGAGGCCAAATTTGGTATAATTTCCTGGCCGTAATCGTCATCTTCGTTCGCAGGTTCTTTACCAAGAAGTTCTAAATAATGTGGGTTTATTTCAGCCTCTACCTGTATAACATTTTCAGGTAATTTTTCTTCTGGTAATTTTAAGTTAGGTGATGATTCATAGCTATATGACTCGTAAGTATTACCTTAAATTAATACAATAATTATATTATGTAATCAATACATTTATTTTTAATAACTTTTTTATGAATACGTCGACTACTAATTTCATTAAATATTTAAACATATCGTTTAAATAACTCGTTTTGATAGTTTTCGTATTGAAACCCTTTTATTTAAATGTTTTGTATAGGCATATTCATTTTAAAATAGGTCAAACAGTACACATATGTATATAAAAATAATACAAATGGGTTAAACATTATACCCTTAAAAATATGGTAGGTACTTATATTCATAGGTCAAACATTACACCCATGTACCTATAGGTAGTATACTTGAATAATCAGCTGGTTTCTTTCGTTTATTTAGAGAAATCTTTACTAATTCTTTTTCTATCTTCCTCCTTTTTCTCAACAGCCGTTCTTCATCTTTATCCACTGACCTTCTCTTGTTTTTCGGCATTTCTTATAACTTTATTTTACACTTCACGGAAAAGATCTGCTCAAGTCAAGCACATTTAATGTTATGAATAGAATATCGGTTATTAGGCGGCAGGTATCAGTTATTAATCATCCTTTTGTTAATCATACAATGTGCTCAAGTTAGGTAACATCTAATGTAACTACACGTATGAACCTATTTGGAGGAGAAGATACGAAATATAATAATAATAATATTTATTTACATTCATTATGTAACTTTTTAGACCAATATTTTAACACTGCTTGCTAATGGCATTTCCAAACCTCAAATTAACCACCTTTTTGTACAGTTTGGCAATTTACGGTTTAACATGCTAATTATATTCTAATTATAATTTAAATTGGAAAATTATTGTTTAGTTCAATTTAAATTGTAATGACTTAATTATAATAATAATAATAGCATGCAGTTAGTTAATAGGCTTCAAATTTAAATAAAAATTAACACTTTTGAATTAAATATTTATACAAAAATAGAGCCACCGTAAGGATAGGAATCTGTATTTCCGGCTGCAAATGTCAAACCAAAAGGTAATTACAAACTTTTTAAATACACAACTGTCACATGGAAGGGCCCATAGCGGGAAAGATAAAGTTCAGGTAACAAAAAGTGGAAAAGTTTTAGTTTTCAGGAATTTAATTTCAGAAAATTCCGACTCGGAAAATATTTTTATCAAGTTCAACAGTCGTATTACTCTGCAGAGCTGTGTTAATTCAATACCCACTGTTTTCCATTTTCCATTTTAAATGGCTTACTTCATATTGACGCCATTTTTAGCATTCCAATCTTGGTGTAATAACTAGATTTTAATATATGAACCAATAATCCATAAAACTCGCTTCTAACCGTATAAACGACCTCTTTTTAGCTTCAAAAGATAGAGAATAACCTTGTTATGTTTAACCGAAGCACACAGACATCAATTACCAAAATAAATTGACCGCAAACAGCCCAAATTATTCCCTAGCGTAAAAAATTTGACCCTTTTAGTCTATTATACGAGGTGTGTTCAGAAAATAACGGGAATTGTTAAATTTCGCGGGTTCGGAGGGTCCGGTTGTCATAAAATTTTCTTTATTATGTTGGTATATATGCCACCGAAGTATGATAAAAACTTTAGCTGTTTTCATTGTTTACTTTGTCTGTGGCAGCCGCTAAGGTTAGACGTGTTTTATGAGCTCGGCGATTTTTCGTTCGTTAAAAGAAATGGATCAAAGAATTTGTATCCAATTTTGCTTAAAAAATGAAATAAATTCTGTGAAATGTTAACAAAGGCCTATAGTGAGTCTGCTATAAGTAAAACAAGAGTTTACAAGTTGTATAAGAGTTTCCAAGATGGCCGTGAAGACGTTGAAGATGACGAACGCTCCGAACGCACAAGCGCATTAACAACCGATAAAAATATGGAAAAAGTGGAAGAAATGGTTATAAACCATCAGAGAAGTCGCTGATGATGTTGGTATATCGATCCCATGAAATTTTTTCGAATGTTTTGGGTATGAAACGCGTGTCAACAAAATTTGTTCTAAAATTGTTCAATTTTGAACAACATTTTTGGCCAAAAACAAAACTGTAATGATGCCCCAGCCTCCACATTCGCCAGACATGCCTCTGTTTGACTTTTTCCTATTCCCAAAAATAAATAGAACTAAAGGGCCGTCGTTTTGCAAGCATAGATGACATTAAAAGCGCATCGCTGAAAGAACTAAAGGCTACCCCAAAGATCGAGTTTTAGAAGTGTTTCAAGTATTGGAAGAAGAGCTGGCACATGTGCATAATATCCAATGGGGACTATTTTGAAGGCGTCAACATTAATGTAGACGAATAAATAAATATTTGTTTCAAGAAACGAAAATTCCCGATATTTTCAGAACACACCTCGTACTTTCCATTACATTTTTACTTTTGACTTATGGAACGCCCTATATAATAATCATGTTGACAATACTGTATAATTTATTTATTTGTTTTTTATACTGAAAAAATCTATCCTAAACTTTTTTGCGTCACATCAAAAAACAATGAATTTTTTTCAATCCATATCTCAAACCTATAGACATAATAACATCGTGCTTTTTCCATCAAACTTTTGAATATTTTAATCCTGTTTACGAGCTTTCAGTCGTAAAAATAAATAAATAGGGTATACATTTTTACGGCTTTTCAATGATATAGAAATGGTCCCCTCCGATATATAAAGCAACCTTTTTGTAAATAAAAAACCCTATTTAATAGTTTTAATATTCTAATATATTTATAATATTAATATTTTTATACAGTCTTGCCAAACTTTAAAAATTTTCTTTGTTTGTTGTTTACATTTAATCCAGCCACAAATTAGGATCAACTCGACACTGATAAATGACCTACTTGATTATAGTAATTCGGTGGCTAGACGCCACAAAAGACAATCTAATAAGAATTGATGTTTGTAATCAGGAATTTTAGTTCTTTCTACGAAATAAATTTTCCTCAAGATTTCTTGCACATTAAATGTACAATTCGATCAAATATATTGAAGTATTAGTTTGACCCTGAAGTTACATTTTTAAAATGTTTTATTACACGTGAATGTTACATAATAATATATATAGAAAAAATAACATCAGGGATGGATTATGGCATTTTTTCTTCCTATGATATTAACACAAAGAATATTTAGTTTTTAATGGAAGACCCTATATCTTCTACCAGCATGAATTTGATCAATAGAATAATATATTCAAAATAGCATTTTTTCTTCTGTATACGATTTTGCAATAATTTTTCTATAAAATTATCATCACTTTTTATTATGTACCTACGATTTTTAACTAATATTTAAGTTTCCTTTGGTTTAAGTTTTATACATTATTTCATTCGGTGATAATTATCAATTGCGCACCATGGTCACTTTTTACCTGCCAGCATTAAGTCCTTTAATTTAAAGGATTATTGTATTATTTTTAATAAAAATACCTCATTTAAGGTAAAAAAAACATTATTTTTTCAATTAATTAATTTAATCCTAATTGAGGTATAAAAAATTGTATTTAGTTATAAATAATAATAATTATTGAGGCATAAAGATACTATTTATAGTTTAGCATTATTGAATCAATTTAGTTCGAAGATTAATTTGCAAACAAAAAGACCTCCTTTCGTTAAGCAGTTATTCATAATGGATTTTTTAACAGAGGAAGAAAAAATAGGAATGATTTTGATTTATGGAGAAGCAGGCAGGAATCTTGATGATGCTGTTAATATCTACGCTCAGCGTTTTCCGGATAAAATTCGATCACTTACTTCATTTCACCGTACGTCAAGCAGTTTACTACAAACGGGAGTGTTCAACCGAAAAAAGAGTTCGTTGAGCAACAGTCATAGTTGGAAATAATGAAATTAATGAATTAGCAGCAACGCCCGCTAATCCTCATGCAAGCACCCGAGAATTCTCGTATCTAGAGATTTGGGAATATCCCAGAATATTAAAACGAAATGCGAATTAAGAAATGCATTAAATCGAAGGCCAACATTTTGAGCACCTACTTTAATTAAAATTTAAAAAATAAATAAATTTAAAAAATAAAACCAAGTATTTTATTTAAAAATTATTGGAGAATCGTATACCTACTGAAGAAAAATCGATCAAAATTGATTTTTTTTCATTACAGCGCCATTTATCATCTATCAAATTCCAAATATTAACATCCATATCTCATTTGAAAAAAATCTTCCTCTTCAAATTACCAAATCCCATATTGTAATACAACAAATTTTGACTTATATTTTTGACATTGCAATTTTGTATGAAAAACCCGGTATTTTCTTTTATTCAGAGTTTGGAAAATAGGATCCATTCAAAATGATAGCATGAGAAAAACAACAACAGGGATGGATTAAGGCATTGTTTCTTCCTAAGATGGTAACACAAAGAAAATTTAATTTTTAATGGAAGACCCTATATCTTCTACTAGCATGAATTTGATCAATAGAATCTACTCAAAATGAAAGCATGGTAAAAATAACATCAGGGATGGATGATGGCATTGTTTCTTCCCAAGATGGTAACACAAAGAAAATTTAATTTTTAATGAAAGACCCTATATCTTCTACTAGCTAAATTTTGAAAAATAGAATCCGTGATTTTCGAATACACTCTAATATTGCGTTCAAAGAGAAATATTTTTATCATTAATCCCAGGGCATTCACCATTTTATACAATTTAATTTTAGAACATTAATTTTCATGTTATGAAAGTTATCTGTAATCGTGTTTTGGCAATAAATACAAATTTATTTGCATACTTCTTGGGAAATTAAATTGACTTGAGGATAGATTTAAAGCATATTGTTTATTTATAACTAAATAAATTTTATTATTACACCATACATGTACTTTGCAAACTAAATTGGTTTAACTTTTTTAAAAACTACTTCAAACTGCAACAAGCTTAGGAAAGCTTTTAAGAATTTTCCAGCAATAACTGATATTAAAATTGCATAAAATATGATGTAACAAGTTTTCCATTTCAAAGCAATCCCGTTCCAAACTAAATCCTACATCCCAATTTTATTTCCATATTGATTTTAACAAAGTTATTTCACAATATGACACAAATAAGATTTCCGATTTATTTTTAAGCCAACGTGTACGATAATGAACTTTTTACATTTGGGAGAGAAAAAACAATTTATACCCTTTTAAGCCCTCAAACTTTTTATTACACATAGAATAGTGAGATTATAACTTTTTAAACTCTTTTAAGTCTCTATGGATTCGCTATTGTTTACAGGAAGCTATAAATACAGGAAGTCGCTTTTGATTGGCAAACTTTTGCGCCATTATCATTTTCTATTGCATTAGGGAACATTTAGCAATATTAAGAGCCTATATTCCAAAGCCAGCTTAATCTTTTTCGGGCACTTAAACTTTACACACTCTTTTCGTTTAGCCGTTTTGCGGCTGAAAGCTTAAGGATACGTTTTTATAGGAGTAA